GAGCAGGGCCACGGGGCCCTGCCTGGCCGCCCCAGCGGCGGCGTGGGCCTGAGCTGCCGCGGGAGCTCACCGGGACCGGGTGGAAGCCTGGAGACGCATTACGGGGAGTGGACACCGTCTTGGCAGAGACGAGGCGTGGGCGGCCGGGGCAGGACAGGTGAGGGGCTTTGTGAGGGACGCCAGGCTGTGCTTTCTCCCCCAGAGAAGACATGTCTCGAGGGGGACCCGTCTCCAGGAACCTCTTTTTGGACAGCCTCCTGTATGAGCAGGCCCCGGGAGCCGCAGGGGTCCCCGGCATGACCCACATCATGGAGTCCAGCGACCCCGAGTCGTCCCCTGGCAGGTGGGTCCCTTGGCCATCCAGGCTCTGCCTGGGCCGTGGCCCTTGGAGCGTGCGACTGGGAAAACAGGCCTGAGAGGTCAGCCCTGGTGTGGTATGTGGGACCCAAGGGGGCCCTCGCTGGGCCGCGGGCCTTTGGTGGGGGGCCTCACTGGCCCGTGGGCCTCGGAGCCACTTGCTGAGACGCCAGCTCATGGGGGGCCTGGGCAAATTTAGCCCAAAGTGACCCTGGGCACTGGCCACCAAAATGGCCGACAGTACTTGCCGGCTTCAGACCGGGGCCACATCACCCCGTCCACATTCGAGGGAGCGACACAGAGATACGAGTTGGCTCTGGAAAATCGGGGCGGTGTGGGTGGGCATGTGGCCTCGGCACTGTTCCCGCCCCTGCCGTTAGGGCGGCGGGCGCGGAATCCTCCCGGGGTCGGCCCCAAGCTTCAGGGTGCCCCTCTGCCGCTTCAGGCCTCGCTGGGCATCAGCCCGGGCCTGGGCGCCGGGGGGACCTGCAGCCCGCCCACCCCCGCGGGCCCCATGGGACTCGCAGCTCGCTGGCGTTCGCTGGCTCTGGAAAGTCGGGGCGGTGTGGGTGGGCATGTGGCCTCGCACTGTTCCCGCCCCTGCCGTTAGGGCGGCGGGCGCGGAATCCTCCCGGGGTCGGCCCCAAGCTTCAGGGTGCCCCTCTGCCGCTTTAGGCCTCGCTGGGCATCAGCCCGGGCCTGGGCGCCGGAGGGACCTGCAGCCCGCCCACCCCCGCGGGCCCCATGGGACTCGC